TTTAGCTGGAAACCTCCACTAAAGTATTGCAGTAAGTTGATTCCAAGCATAGCTTGGTCAAAAATAACTTGCTTCTTCCAGAGCTGCAGATCTGAGCATGCGCGACCACACCCAAATTTTGGAGCACATGGCAAGCTTCTTTAATTAACAAAATGGCGGCATGTAGCTAAGATGGCTCGATCCAGCAGTCACAGTATCACTTTTTCCTTACTTGAAGAATGATCTGATGGGACATGGACCTGCGCATAGACTGTTGGAGTAGATTGGTGTAAGAATTATTCTTGTAGCACCAACTGATACTGAGATACACACCGACAACTGGATTGACAGGACTTGATGAAGATGAAGATGATGATGATGATGATGAAGATGAAAAAAGGTGGCTGAACAAAACGGCCGGTTCGCCGATTTTTGACTTTTCGCTTAGACAAGGTCTAGAGCCACGCTAGTTATACCATTGGAGTCCTCTGGTCAAGATGAGGTCCTCTAAGAAGTCTGGTAAGCATAGGGGCTCGTTTTCCCGGTATAGCAAGGCTGCAAAAGTCGTGGCAGCCATTTTGTTTGGGGGTGAATCCTACTTAGTAACGCTACCGCGTTACTAATAGCCTTGGGTATTTTTCAGATTTTGGCTCATTTTTTAAAATGGCTGTAACTCGAAAAATTGAAGTCGGAATCAGCTCAAACTTTCTATGTAGCATAAGTACATCAATATGTATCAGAAAATGTAATAAAAATTGGGGGTGATTTCAGAGCCATTTTTTGAAAAAAAACCATGGGCTATAGCCTTGAGTATTTTTCAAATTTTGGCTCATTTTTTAAAATGGCCGTAACTCGAAAAATTGAAGTCGGAATCAGCTCAAACTTTCTACGTAGCATAAGGACATCAATATGTATCAGAAAATGTAATAAAAATTTGGGGTGATTTCAGAGCCATTTTTTGAAAAAAACCATGGACTATAGTGCATGGTTTTTCTGAAAATTTGCTAATTTAAAAAAATCCAAATATTCTTTCTTCCTTCCCCAGTCTCTTACTGATAGGCCGGTTTAAGCTGATCCTTGTACTTCTGTAACAATCTCTTCTCAATGCCAAGTGATATTATTGTATAAACATTATCAATAGCTTCAATGGCCGTCTTCAGACTCCTCCCCTGATGCTCCAGACTCTTCAACACAAACAGGTTAGTGAGTGTCAGCTGTAGAAATCCGACTAAAATAAATATTACTAACGTCGTTAATGACGCTAGCCCCATGGGCCATGAAAAGGTAAATATGATGATGTAATTAGTTATAAGATTGATAATACCACGGACAGTAATACCTAATGAGAAACCAGTGGCCTGTAGAGAGAGGGGGAGAGGGGGAGGGAGAGAAAGAGAGAGAGAGAGAGAGAGAGAGAGAGAGGGGGGGGGAGGGAGAGAGGGGGGGAGAGAGCAGAGAGAGAGATCATAATGTTAATATTTATTTACACTTGTTTGTTATCAAACCATAATATTACTCAAGGGACTTTGTGTCAACAAAAATGACAAACATTTGCAACAATAGTGAGAAAGCATTATGTAACTCTAACACTCCCTCTCACACCCACCACCTCAATCACTCCTTTAAATGTACATTCCATTTAGTTACATGAAGTTACCATGAACACAGCAACAATTAACAGTTCAAGTACACGTACATCACTGAATGGCCACAATCAAAATTTAGTTCCTTGTACTATTGTTATTTGTTACTAAAATTTTTCTATTAAAATGGACCTTTTAGATACTAAAACACTGACCAGTATCATTAAAATTTTGAGAAACACAATACATTATTGATCTTACTTGATTGACTTCAGTGGTGTCAATCGCTAGTCGTCCTGTTAATATACTCACTGAGTTCTGTGGCTCATCAAAGAAGGACATGTCTTGCTTCATAATCGTCTCAAATGACTTCTGCCTTAATCTAGTGGTGAGTCTATCAGCAGCAATACACAGTGAATAGGTCTAATAAATGATAATAATAGTAGTAATAATAATAATAATAATAATAATGTCGTTATATTATTAAAAAGTGCTGCTTACAGCTACAAAGTTAATGATAAGTCCAACAAACCCAACCACAGCATAAAGGATTGAATATAGTCGAGCCTGTTTAATGACCTCATCTCTATCTATGTTACTGAATATCTAAAAAAAGATCAAAAAATGAATAAAGTACAGAAAGATATACACCATCAGTTACACCTACATGTGTACATGTACATGTAATTATACTAAATCAAAATTTAGAATGAAATGTAGTACCTCTACTGCTTCACTGAAGAGAACATAAAGAGCTGACAAGAGG